GTGAAAGTCAGATCCTTGTGATGACCTCAAAAAATCAAGAGCAAATTGAACATCAGATTAACTGTTCTATTGTTTTTGTGTGATAAACCATTACAAAGTACATACTGGTTCAGAAGTGGAAGAGAATTAGGTATTCTTTTATTTCTGAGAGAAAAAATTGTTTTGTGCATTTAAATTCAGCCACATTTTACTTTACCTCTAATATTATTATTTCTGTCTGTGTGTAATTTAATCCCAGGATTTTATGGTTTGGAATATAAATGAAACAAATCCCATCGTAAGGGACCCGTCAAACTATGTGGAGTCAAGTCTCTTTCAGTGTTGTCGCTAGTAAAGAACACATTTTATAAATGGAAATTTATAAAAAAGAAAAAAAAAAGATAAATTACAAAAAAAATAAAATCCAGAAACACTTATAATTTTAGGGCACTCAGTGAACTACTTTGAAAATCTAAATTTCAAGCCAATAGTGTTATTGGAATCCAGGAGAAGACCTTATTACCTTTGTAAAATAAAAAAATATGGATAATTTGATGGCAAAAACTAACGCCAATGTAATAACAGGAAACGCCAACCTGACGAATATATTAAGAAAGAAAACAAAAGTGCTTCTATAAGAAATTAATGAAAATCATTCTGAGAGTGAAAAACACATTTTTTTGGTACAACATAACCTTAGAGGCATTAATGCTGATAGTGGTTCTGACATTTTTTTGTTTATAACCCTAAATATAAATGTTAACTAAGGTTATTAACTTTTGAAGTTTACTTCTTAACTTTTCAATTTGCTTTTTACCTTTTTTTCTTTACTTTTTTTTTTTCCAACTTAATTTCCAGTAGGTAATATTTCATTCAAGGTATCATCTAATTGGTCAGATGCCAAAACAAGATGTACAGCCATGCAGCAGGATCTTTGCTGAATGGCTGGATATAGATCTTGTTCTTCTAGACCTCACTGAGGGACGGGTCGGACTCCATTTGTAAGGGGTATGCAAGTGATCAAAAATGGTGAC